AGAAAAACAGCCACTATAAATATTCAAAATTTAAAGTTTGGAAAATTTCCATTTTTTTTTTTTCAGAGTGAAACTCGCAATGCATAAGCGCAACAGTAGTATTCAATGTATCTAGCCTGAAAATCTCTTTTGAATTGAAAAAATGACTTTCTTATCTAAATGAACTGCTGAAGAATTGTGGAAGAAAAAATCAAAAAATCAAAATTATAATAAAAATAAGAAATCTTTGGAAAATATTAATTTCATCATTCATCTCAATAACAATGAAATTTCTATCATTTGAAACTATTTGAATGAAAAACAAAATGTTCAATTTTTTTTTTTTTTTAAATTGAAACTATCAATGAAAAAAATAAAATTCTTCATCTCAATAATACACCATCATTCTGCTACCACTTCGTGTTGTTTGTATTTATCGTAAACATTCTTTTTTTGATATCTCTTATCTCGCTTTTATTTCTTACCATACTTTATATTTTATTTTCATGCACTTGCTTTTTTTTACCCTTGTTTTTGCAGAAAATTAACATGAATTTCTTAAGAGATACTGTATAACCCATACAGCAGTAGGCTGTTTTACTCAAATATACTTAAATTTGTGCCAAATCAAATGAAAAAAATGAAACAAGAAAAAAAGAACCATTTCTTATCAAAAGGCTTTTTTATCTAGAATTAAAGAAAATGAAATATTCATTTGTTAATCAAATCTTTTGAAACACGTTCCACTTTTTTTCACTTTAAATTAGGAGAAAAAATTTTATTTCCATGGTAAAAAAATAAAAAAACTTTCATTTAATTTTAAAAATCTACACATTTAAAGATTAAATAAACAAATAAAACAGGAATATACCGTGATTTCAATTTACTGCAATTTCTGTGAAAATCTCACATGAATCATGTACAGTATCGAAGACTAAAAAAAGATCCAGAACATAATGATGAGGATCGTCTTGAAAGCTTCAGACTGGTGAAAACACACCACCAGTATTTTTCAAATACAAAATACAAATGTTCAAACCACTAGCGTCCTTCCGTTACGGACGAGTCTTCAGAAGATTGCCTAATGTGCTACAGCAGCAAAACGGAATGAAACACTGGATCTAGCATTCCTTGATCTTATTCTTTTAACCTTATTTCATTCTCTTGTTTAGGAAACGCAAATCTACTCTATATTTTGCATATCTCAAAATATATTTCATGTACTCAGTGCTGCAATCTGCATTTCTCGTTTATACATAAAATAACTAAAAATGGTTGTCGAAGCAAGACGAGGTGTAAAGTAAATTGCTATCTGCTCAACGTACTGAAAAAAAAAAGAAATGAAAAACATATAGAAAAACTTGAATGTCGAAATTGAACAGTAGAAAAAACAGTTTATTTTTAATTTCAATAGATGGTTTTTTATAAAATGGTTCTTTATAAAAGTATGAAATATAACAAAAAATAACATTTGTATCGAATGCTAATAGCATTCAGCAAGTGTTACAATCTCAAAAACCATAAGAAAACTTGCAACATTCAAAAATATAAAATAATTAAAAATGAGATTAACTTTGCAAATTAGAAGTTGATAAAAAAGTAATAAAGTCCAAAAGCGAATTGAGAGATTAACGCAATCTACTAAAGAACAGTTAAGAGAAATCGTTCTTAAATGGAGAAAAACAAAAGTGAGGGGACTTGAATAAAAAATTAAGACTCAAAAAGTTAACAGATAGTGAATGCCCACAACAAGAAACATTTTTGTTGAAGGCATGGGAACAATTCCCTTTCAAAAATCTCGCAACCATCCAACAAAATATCCTGAAAAAGTAGTGGAATCGTTCAGTTAAAATGAACAGTCCTTCTACATTTTTTTAATTAGAAAAATATCTCCAACGTCGAAAATCTGCAATTGATTGCGCCTCTTCACATGTCTATTCTATCATTTCAAAATTCAGTATTTGTGGTTAATTTTCTTTCTTACAGCAAAGTAACGTGGTATTTTATCAACTCTCTTATATAAATGAAATTTGTACGTACCGCCATAGTAGTACTGAGAATCCGGATGGGACGACGGATTTGCCTGCTGGAAATAGTAATATCCACGCGGCATGTAGCTACCATAGCGGCGAGGAGCCGGATTTTGTCTTATGCCTTTCAAACGTCCGAGATTTCTTCTCGATACCGGTATATGAGTGTCCATACCATAATCTTTATGGACTATTATCCAGCATCGAATACAGTAGTAGAGCAAACACGAGAACTCAGGGCACAAAAAAACACCAAGGGATCGACGGCATATCTCACACAATATACGATCGAACACATATGGTCTCATTTCCAACTAAAAGATACGTCTGTTGGAAAAATACATTATTGAATGCTTTTGCATCTGTCTGAATATTTCTGCACGAAGCAAAAATGGCAATGTCAAATGGTGGAACATAATCTTGAAAACTTAATCTAAGTGACTGAAGTTTTAATAATACGTAAGTTAAACAAGATGGAATAACTCTATTAAGAAGCTCTGTGCATAGTGAAGGTACATCACAACGCTCTAAATAATCAGTCTTTTTCATTATTTTCAAAACTGAGTTTGCTGATACTTAATATGGCAGTAAAAGTGACATGTGCAAATTCCTTTAAGAAATCTTACGACTCTTCGCTGTTTAGGTGTAAATAATGTGAAGCGACGCATTGCGATGGCTATGAGGTACGCTTCACGACTCCCGAAAACCACTCGTGCTGATCCTTTTGGATAATTTGTACCAGGTTCCACTTCCAAAATCACTTTAACTACATTGCTGACCACTTGTTGGAAGAGCTGTGCCACTTCCACTGTAAGCTCAATTGCATTCGATAACATTTATGAAAATTAATACATACGAATAATTACAAACAATGCACGATTTAATATTTATGAATACTTCAATTTTAGCATCTCATCTTATCATAATATCTCTTAAATAAAAGGAAAGAAAAAGCTACTAACTCGCAGTCACTGTACGCGGGATACCACTAACAAAAATAGCGTAACGATCAATACATGGTGCAGCACCTATCAGAGTACATCCCATATAGTTCAGATTCCAAGGTCTCACTTGCACCTGTTATTATATATTATTAAAAAAGAACTTCAACATCTTCAACCTGTCTTTTAACCAATCATAAACAACCCATCCCATCATTCAGTTTCACCTAGAAAAGTCGAAAATCGCAATTCGTCAGTTATGCAACCTAGCCTCCGAAATACCACTTATAAAATAATAAAAGTTTGATTTATAATTTTCTTTTAAAATAATGCATAATCTTTCTAACGGCACTGTTTTATTAGGAGTAAATGCAGAATCTTGTATTTTTCTTCCAGATAGCTAACTTCATAAATCATAGGCGCGATAAAATTCATAATTCTTGTTGTGCAATAAATCATTTCATGCCACTATGAAAATTTGAGAAAAATAATTCTGCATCACTTCTATTAATGAAGTGAGAAATAATTCTAGATAAAAATTCTCAAATGTTAAACCTCTTGCTGAAGTCGTGATAAACGCGAATTCCACATTATGAAGCACCATGTCTTTGATTTTAACTTGATTAGACAAATAGACAAATTAGCTAACAACATTGATAAATAGGACAGAACATCAACAAATAATGTGCTTTGCAGTTGATTATGACAGAACACTTCATTCACACCATGAAGTTATGGTGCAGTACCAAAATCTTGCTTTAAAAATTTTGGAAAGGAAAAAATGGAGAAGCGAATTCTGAATATGCTATTAAGTTGAACAAAATAATGGCAACTAGAAAAATAACAGTACGATACTTTAAAGAAATTTAAAAGCTAACAGGACTGGTTTTATAAATCCAACTACAGGAAGTGATAGTACTACTTCAATTTTGATTTCTTAGCATCTACATAAAAACAGTGAACATCTCCACCTCATCAAAAGCTTTGTCATCATTTGTTTAAATCTGCTTGAACTGATAGTGCATCCTTCTCTTAACTTCTATCGTTGTTATACAACACAAATATTGTTTCTGACGCATGACTGCAACAGTGATATGAATACCTACTTGGTGTCGGTTCATGCTTAGCTGTGTTATTGCTGACCATCGCTCTCATGTTTCGTATTTAGTAAAGCGAAATAGAAAGGACTATGGATGAGAATATGAGTAAAAGTTAAAGAAATCCATATCTCAAATCATTCATTGAAAGAAAGTATAATTGTAAGTACAACTATACATTAGCTCTAGTATCAATATAAACTGAGGGCAAATCCTCATTTATCGCATTAACAATTCTGATCCTAATTTTTCTACCACTGGTAAATGAGCTCTTATAACACTATAATTTTGTACATCAACTTTTTAGAAATTAAAGGTCTCAAGCAATATTTATATCATATATCTTTTTGTTTTTCATCACGTGTTATTAATCTGTGTGCACAGTATTTGTAACCTGAAAGTGACAATGTAAAAAATCCTGCTCCACACCAATTTTTCTTGAAATTTGGAGAGCATCACACAGTGCTAACATTCACAGCAAGGCATATTATTGTATCTAATTCTCTCTAGAAACAAACTGCGATAATAGGGAAAAATGATCTAGAATAGTTGCGTAAAGTCATTTGCTAAAGAATTTTATCTCTGTGGTCTCACGGAAGCAGTTTGGCTGCATATGAGGAAACAAATTTTGCCATATTGATCATAGTCTGTTTAACAAATATTTTGATTTAGGTAAAAATGCGAAAGCCGAGGAGGCCAAGTAGAGTATTTCTCATCTTTTGTATTGATAAAATGGATGTTATTGTTGATAAAAAAAATGGACATACCGATGATGAAGGTTGATCGAAACAGAGGAAAGTATAATATTGAGTCAAAGTTTTAAAAATAGTGATAATGGCCAAAATACCCAACATACTGAACTAACCGTTTTGATCTCTTTCTCACCGTCCTTCAAATTAATAAGCAGCTTGCCTCGCTTCAACTCGCTCGCTTTAACAAGTCGATGTACCGCATTCTCATCCTCGTATATGATAAATGCATATCCTGAAATATTTGCTCAAAAATTCGCTCAACAGTTTATGTTTATATTTGATATTCTATCAGTTTTTCATAAAGCTACCAGAAAACTCTCTAAATACTCCAGTAGTTTTACCATATTTTACAAAAAAATGAATAAACTGTATTATAAAATGAACCATTTGCTGGAGATATGACGTTACAACACACACGATGTGGCCAATCAACAATGAGCGCGCCATACTGCACGAAAAATTTAGAAATTACACCTGGAAATACAGTAATTATCCATTGAAATTTGAAGTCATTGTGTATAAAGAAAATAAAATTTGGCTGCTTTATATGACAGTAAAAAATATGAGATAGTAAAAAATGAGTAAAATTATCAGAGCCCTTTGCCTGCATCAATATCATAAGGAAGGCCGCCGATGAACACTTTTGTGGAATAGATGGGTAAATCATCAGATCGCAAAGACGTCAATTCGTCGTCCGAACTGTTATTTTCATCGAGTTCCTGTTCAGGTATTTCTAAATTAGTAAAAACTCGTTAAGACTGAGAGTGGAAGTGGAAGTATATTCTTTGATATTATCATATTCATATGAAGAATGCAAAATTTACATCAGCATCTGCTGCCTGTATTATCTAAAATGTTAAACGTTTGATCTTACTCTTCTTGTGTTTTGTCCTCACTAAAAATGAGTAAGTGTAATTAAAAATAATTGGTTCTAAATCATCATCACTTATTTAGGAGGTTTGGGCAACCCAAATCGAAGTCTGCTGCGACATGTATTCATATATCAACCGTACTTAAAAGTAAATTTGGAACACTACAGTACTGGCGATTTCGTAAGTCATTTCTAAGATCAGTATCATCTAAAAAAAAAAAAACTTTATGGCATTGTTCTGTGGATTCACATCTTTCTTTCATGATGCTTCAGATATTCAAAAAAGGAAATAAATGCCGGTTGCTGATTATCGTGTTAATCAAACGATTACACACTATTTATTCTGACGGCCAGCTGTAACCCGTGATAATCGTATTTCAACTATAAAATTCTCAATATTAATATTACTGTTTATTAATAATGTTATCCAAATTCGACACTCGAGAAGCTTTATCAGTTTTTAATTTATAATCCTACTGACTGAAACATCAATTTTTTCTCTTTTTCTGGTTTCAAGTTAATCATCATTATTGAAATAATCAATTAATTGATTAAGTGTAAANNNNAAAAAAAAAAAAACACTACCCTGCTCATGTATCGATACGTTTTCAGACATTGCAATAGTTGTTTGATAGAATTGTATTTGCGTAGATAAAGCAACAAGTATCGAGAGAAGATTCTAGAAAATTAAATACTATGAGTTAGAAGTCTCAAGAGATGTTCAAGTAAGTGCAAGAGTGCGTAAACATAATACATACTAAACCAGTACATACTGCGTGGGAACATCACTAAACCCAATCACTCCTCCCTCCTAACCTGGAACAACCGCTCACCACCCAACACTGGAAATACAATGACGGCCACCACCCCCACACTTCTGTTTATATAGGCGTCCTGTTAGACCTCCTGTCTCACTCGAACACCAAACACAAGCTACCATATAGTCCTCTACCATTCTTGGTATCTGCTTCACGTAGTCCTGCTATACTACCTCGTCCATTCCAAATCACTCTATTTCCTTTCATTCAAAATACGTGATTAGCTAGAAAATAGAATGCATTTTGTTAATCTTTCTTCTTCTCCCTAAGGTATATGAAAGTGATCACTGCTGATTGTAAAGGTGCAGTGAAGAAATTGTATAAGGAATTAGATGAGGCGCATTTTTTACGGTGAACTTTCACCTGTTTAGGATGCAAGATCATAGTAATGAAATGAAAGTGAAAAAAATAACGGGAATTTGTTCAATATGAAAAACCGAGAGAATGAAAAAATCCGATAACATCATCAAAAGCTCCCAGCGATCAATAATTCAAGTCTTCTGGATCAAATCCGACTCGAAAACCCGAAATTGCATAATTCAATTCGATTTAATTCACTTTTAATCACTTTCAGAACTCATGTAATAGCTCCGATTGATTTATGGGAAAGATTTTCCTTTCCTTTCTTTGTTTCTTTTAAATGCTGCTCAAACATTCAACCGCTGGTAGGATTTTATTTAAGACAATGACCAAAAAGCTACCACGGTATAAAAACAACACATGTTATTATGTCATTAACGACACCGGAAAGATTACTTTCATTAATTAAAAAGTCAAACATTTGAAAACTATGTCGATTAAAAAGTGGAACTGTTGTTTCACAAGTGCATGCGAATAAATGGATTGGGTAAGCAAAGAAAAAAACCTCGATTAAAGAACTGTCCGGTTAAGTCCGTCCCCAAAGACTAAGGGAAAAGGGAAGCAAAGAAGAAGGAAGAGGGAGAGAAGAGTCAGGTCAGAGTAAATTTTTGTGGATTTTTAACATGATATAATAAAATAAACTCTTTACAAAAATTTAATAGCAACACCGTACATTAGTCGTCAAGATTGCAGTATTAATAGTGATGACAGATAATACTTGCAAATCTTTCGAAAAATTTTATTGAAATCAAATCGCTTTTCCGGTTAGGCCATTGTGGAATGTATGCGACTCCGAACCACCGTGTCCATAACCCTTCGGTCCAAAAAGTGCTCCGTAACAGTGGTTGCAATATGGCTTGCCTTGGCGCTGAAAAAAAGAGCAGTAAAGATTTTGCAAACAAACGATACAATGTCACGTTAAATTTAACAAGAAAATCATACTATCCGATGTGTAAAAATCTTCCAATCATCCAACGATGACCTCTATTTGACTGCATTTTTTTGAATAGATCAATGGACGGAACAATTTCACAAAATTTCTCAAACATAGTTCGGACCAGTCTTAAAAACCCTCTCTTAATACGCTTTTTTTTGTTTATGTCACCTTCTACATCATTGATTTAATTTAGCACTATATATTTACTGTTTTGAACATTTATCTCAACTCTTTATTAATCTTTTTAAAATTTCAGTTATCATCCTCTTCCTCTTTCACTCCAATCATTCGTTACTGTAACGATCACCTAACATGTTTTCAGCAATTATGGCATAAAGGAAAACCGAACAAACAGTAAACACCGATCAAAATCTCTAAAAATCTCGAAAATTTCATTCCAAATCGACAACAAGAATCAATTTTTTTAATAAACCGAATGTAGAAAAATGTGAGAAATAATACCGCTCAGTGTTAAAGTCTCCGAATTGGCAACCTGAGCACTAATTAATGTGTTCTTAACAAAAGTAAGTATAGAAGTGCGACGAACCAATACGCAAGTGAAGAATTTCAAAGCTCACCCAAATCATATGTGTAAATTTAAAAAATTTGAAAAAAAAAAAGCTTACTAAATAAAACTAAAAAACAAAATCCTAAAAGATTGAACTTGGACGAGGAAAAAGAACACCGGGAAGTTCCAAAAGAATTATTTATTAGACATACCTCGGAATGGTTACCGGCTGTCAGCGTCTTTCGGCAATTTTCATTTTCACAGCGCAAGCACGGACGATGCCAATCCTTCCCAATCGATGTGACACGTTCAGCTGAAACGATTCACTTTTCTGCTTCGAATATATAAACTTGAAACAATGATAATCCACTAATCTGATCCAATATCGACTTAAATATTGTTACCTGATATAATCTAACGTTATGGCGCTCTCAGAACCTATCATTCCCAAAAATTTAAACCTGACATGATTTGTTAAACAAAAAGCCCTATTCAGAAAGAATTGGCTGCAGATGAAAAAAAAAAGACCTATCCTTTTTTTCTTTTCATCTGTAACCAATTGAAAAATACGGATAATGAGAACATTTTCATCCGAAAGCTCGTACAATTTCATTACTCCAAATGACGTGTGTAAATTAAGCAATTACATGATTTTTCATCTGATCATTACTAAACATATTAACAAAAATGAAAACGATAATCTTACCGAAGTATACAGGTTTGTTGCAGCCTGGACAATTCGGCATTTCTGACACTCTAACAGAGACTAGCCTTATGTACACACTGAAAATTCACACCAATTACATTAATTTAAATGATCAAATCAAGCTAATACGATAAAGAGACCCACGCGATTACCAAACAACCGCCAAGGAGAAACCGCCGTGCACGAATGCCAATAATAGACCAACTGTGGTAAAAATAGCAATTGACGAAAGGAAAAGGAGGTGAGGAGGGAAGGAGAGAGGAAAAGGAAAATGATATGAGAGGGAAAAAAAGCAACATGGATGGGGATGGGAAAGTCAAAAAAAATATTGATTTTCCTACTTACGTGAAAGGCAGGTTAATCGATAAAAATGAGAACGGTAGAGAAATCATCTTAGCTTCCAACTTTTTACTACCGATTTAAATAACTAAGAAAATAAATGTGTCCTTTTTTTTTTTTTTTTCATTATTAACATATAAAATTCTAAACGAATATGTATATATTTTGAGGAATTATTGTTACATATTATAAAGAAACAAAAAATAATGGAAGAACTTTTCTTTTCCAAATAACCATAACAGCGGTAATTAATAGGATAAAATGGTGAAAGATAAAGGAGCAAAAGTTATGAATTTAATCGAAATTTGTTGAGTGAAGATAAAAAGAAATTGAAATTGAAAGGCGACGATAAATGTCAGATGATGCAGCAGTGGGAAAAAGAAGATGATGATGAACGAAAAAGGAAGAGGAAGAGGAGGAGGATGAGGAGAAAGGGGGAGGGGGGAAATGTTAGTAAGGGAAGGTAACAGCGGTAGTAGCTTTCCATGGAAGCATTGGTATAGAATAGAATAAAAAGTACAAAGAAATTAAACAAAATGAAATGGAACAGAACAGACTGAAAAAAAAAAGAAACAAAATAATATAGAAAATATAATGAAATTAAAATGGAATAGGAAGGAGAAAAAAAACCAGTCAAACATGGATTACAATAGCGAAATTTAATTTAAAAAAATCAAATTGAATTCTTTTCCTGACTGTATAAATGAGAACAGAGATGTATGACAAAAAATATAAAAAGACGGATTGATGGGTGATTGAAACAGTGACATCAAGCGACAACAAACTTGACTGATCATTAATGACAAGGTATGACATACCATCAACCCACTAATCCGCGAATGCATGCATGCCATGTTATCATTGTCATATAATATACCATAAATCATTCACACGTGCACATCAGGAACCAAATGAAAGTTATGATGTATAACAAAATGTTCACAATACAAGAGTATGGATGCAACGAAAATTCCCGAAAATTTCTAATTATCGAATTGTTAAATGATATTCAATACCTAATACAATATTTTTATCTTTAAATTAATACCTTTAATTATTTAAAAAATTAATTAAATAACAATCTAATGTGAGAAAAGCCTATCGATGTAAATCAATTTTCTTAAATTACACATGAAATGACAAGATGTCATTTATAACAAACAATCAATCAGTCAATAATTGGTCATTTTTTATTTACGAATGACAAAGACTAAATTCAACGTGATAATGAATAAATTCCATAGAAAGGAATAGTAATTCTTTTTTTTTCGTCGATTTCCTCGTCACGCAATCGTTAGAGAAGAAACAGAAAGATACAAAAATATTTCTCTTCTCAAGTTAAATACGATTATCTCCGATCACAGATGGACATTTATGTTATTCGCTATATTTGGGATGGTATATATATATGTATCGATTGAAAATCACCAAAATAAAATAACGGAAATCTTTTCGTTCTCTCTTAATTTGATGCAAGTTTCATTAGACGATTTATCACAATGGATTAAATGAGATTGCCAAATAAATGGTGTGATATTTTTCAAACAGTGGCAAATCATTTAATGATAAGGATGAAATGAAAATATCAGTTGATGATACGAAAAGTAGTAGAATCTAGTGAGTGAAAAGATGAGAAAGTATAATATTAATATATAGTACTGATAAAATTGAAAGATCAAATCTACAGCACATATACATACATGGTGCAAAAAATGTATATGACAAACGAAAAGACTGCAAACAATAAGGATGATATCCTTTCTCACGGTATTCTTATTTCAACCGAACAGAATGAAATGATAAAGTGATATCAGGAAAAGATGAGGACAGAAAGGATGTGTCAGAAATACAAACAATAGCATAAATAATTGATGAACAATGGAACATATTCCTCCCTCCTCTATTATATTCATAATTCAGATATACTCAAAGATCAAGATTTCAATTCAAATTTTCAAATTTTCAGAAAGAAATTCAATATTTACAAAAAACTGATAAAAAAAAAGTTTATAATATAAAAGTTCCCTATGTTATTCAATTAATTTGATCATTCAGCGATAACATAACACTGACCAATTAGTAGAATAATTCGTTTTTACGATTAGAAATTTATTTAAAAATAATTGGATAATTACTGGAGTTAAAAATTTCGAAAATCTACAGTTTAATAATTAAACGTAAACAATAAAATTTAGTTTTCATTTCTCTTTCATCCTTATTTCATCCCATCTCATCTCATCCCGCGATTGTCATTAAAATTCACAACATGAAAGAAAAAAAAAACAAT